TGCTATATATCGGCAAACCCCTTCTGGAACCTCACCTACAATTTTCAATACTTTTATCTGTCATAAATTGCGAAACAACTCAGCGAATCGTTATAACTTGCTATATCTAAATAAATGTCTGTTGTTGCAAAATCGTCAGGCAAAATCCCATTATTGTTGTTTTTATAAAAACAACGTTTGTTTATGAGTGGAGAACGATGGTAATGTTTACCAGGGGGTAAGGCAGGGAATACCTAGGTTTCGGAAAGAGTCACCAATCCTCATCAGTTCCCTTGTTTCTTGTCTGGGATATTCTCCCCAGAAGTTATTATTATAATGTCTTTCAACCAGAAACCTGATATGAATATGGAATTTATGATTTCGCATAAAATTGGATATAAATTTTCGATTTTTTTATAATTTTGGCCAAAGCAATATTTTTATCTGTATTAGATGAATCATGAAAATGGATTACTTCGGTCGATTATATCTGGTATCTCACGCACATGTTAACATTTTCTAAAAATTAAAATTTTACTAAAAATTAACTCATCTATATCTATAAAAGAGGAAAATGTTTGTATGTTTGTTTGTTTGTAATTTATGGACTCGAAAACCGCTGAACAGATTTTCCTGAAAATTTACATGTATACTGCAACATCGCCTGAAAGTAACATAGGCTATATACATTGGAGATATAGCATCAGAATCGGAGGTACCTCCCAAAAATTTTGATTTTGTATGCACATATCTTTTGATCGATTACAGATACAATCTCCAAATTTGGAATGCGTAACGGAATTTGGAACAAAAATAAATTTGTCAAATTATATTGAAATCGGTTCAGATTTGGATATAGCTCCCATATATATTTTCGGCCGATTTCAAGCATTTGATGCACCATACATGCTATGTATCCCAAATTTCAATGAAATTTGAAACGTGTGATGGATTTTATCTAAAAAATTGATTTCTCAATTTATATTGAAATCGGTTCAGATTTGAATATAGCTCCCATATATATTTTCGACCGATTTCGTTCATTTGATGCCTCAAACACGATATGAATGTTGGATACCAATGAAACTTGGAATGTTTAACGGGATTTGATCCGAAAATAAATTTATCAAATTATATTTAAATCGGTTCAGATTTGGATATAGCTCCCATATACATTTTCGGCCGATTTCATGTATATGGTGCACCAAACACTATATGTATGTCCAATTTTAATGAAATTTAAAATAAGTAACGAAATCGGGAGCAAAAATGAATTTGTCAAATTATATTGAAATCGGTTCAGATTTGGATATAGCTCCCATATATATTTTCGACCGATTTCATGTATTTGATGCACCAAACACGCTTTTGTATTTCTAATTTCAATGAAATTTGGAATGTGTAGCGGAAATTAAAACGATTATACATTTATAAAATATTATTGAAATCGGTTCAGATTTGGATAGAGCTCCCATATATATCTTCAACCGATTTCGTTTATTTGATGCACCAAACAGATTTGGATATAGCTCTCATATATATTTTCGACCGATTTCATGTATTTTATGCACCATACACGATATGTATGTTCGATTCCAAAGAAATTTGGAATATGTGACGGGATTTTGATTAGAAAATAATAAATTAGAAAATAAATAAATAATTAGTCAAATTATATTAAAATCGGTTCAGATTTGGATATAGCTCACATATATATTTTCCGCCGATTTCACATATTTGATTCACAAAACACGAAACGTATTTCCGATTGCAATGAAATTCGCCATGAGTGACTAAATTTGCTACAAAAATAAATTTGACGAATTATATTCAAATTCGCTCAGATTTGATTATAGCTTTGATTATGATGCACCCAAAGCGAGAGAGACGAAATCTGGCACCAGAAAAAATTGCCAAATTAAATTGAAATCGTTTGAGGTTTGGGTATAGCTAACATATATATTTCGGCCGACTTCATACATGTTATGTACGAAACACGATATATATGACCGACTCCAATGAAATTCAGAATATGTGTCGGAATTTGGTTACAATAATAAATGTGATAAATTAATTGGAAATTAGTTCATACTTGGATATAGCTCCCATATATATATATATATATATATATATATATATATATATATATATATATATATATATATATATATATATATATATATATATATATATATATATATATATATATTTTTTTTTTTTCTCGGCCGATTTCACATATTTGACGGAATTTGGTGTAAAAATAATTTTTTTAAAATTATGTTTACATCGGATCAGATTGGGATATGATTTTATTAAGAACCATTGACCCACAACGCATTAGGCTAACACTAAAAAACAACACAATAGTTAATTTGAAATACGCTTATTACGGGGAAGTATGTTGCTACCTCGAATTCACTAATTGCAATAGAAATGTCACTCAACTTCAAAAAATTGCAGTTTCCTGCACGCTTGGTATTTCCTATGAAAAAAGAAATCCGAAGGACAAACCCTTCGTGTATGCATGTCATGTTACTGCTTTTCTATTGATTTTGTTTACTAACGCATTAAAGTAGTGCAATATTTTTTTTTTAATTTTCAAATTTGTTTTTTTATCCAACATATATTCGTAAATAAAATTTTGAACACATATAAAATGAAAAGGGGTAACGAAGCGCACCGGGTTCAGCTAGTGTAAAATAAAGGAAGTTACCAATATAGTCCGAACCTGGCACACCACAATATTTATATCATATTTATTCAGGTCCGACACGAAATGGTCAATATTGGCCCATTCCTTCGTAACCTACTCCATAGAGGGTCGATAATTTGAATAACTATAACAGAAGTCAAAACATATTTAAATAATCGTGCCTTGGCTGAGGGTATACATTTGTCGGCAAAACTGACTGATAACTTGTTGTTTTTGTTTTTTATATATTTATTTATATTTATGCCTATTAGTGGAGAAAGATTGTTATGATTACCAGGGGGTAAGGCAAGGAATACCATGCTTTCGGAATGAGCCTCCGGTCTTCATAAGTTCCCTTGATGTTTGTCCGGAGCACTTCCTCTACCAACAACACCCCCCCCTACAGTATTTTTTTAAATAACTCCTATGACAAGATGATGTTACCCAATAATTATATCGTTCTGTTAAATAACAAATACTTCCTTAAATATTCGTATTTTGGTCCGCTGTATTTCAAATATTCTTCAAGATATACTACGAAAATTTAATCATATAAATGCAGTCTAAATTGTTGTGCGTCAACAATCAACAGCGACAGCAACAACAATTGAATCTAAGCTTCTTTCCCACCCATTGTCTGGCTCGTCGTTTCATAAAAATGCTTTGTCATCTTCGAACATTCAATTGAATTAATAAAATAAATTGTTTTCTACGTTTGTTAAATTTTCCAGATGATATGCGATTTTTTTGGACGGCACGCCACAAATTACCGTAGGAGGAATTGAAATTGTGGCTTGTGTTTTGAAAAAATATAACTCATACATTTCTTCAAAGAATGCATGCATTGTGTGACTTTTGAGATCACATGTCATATTTGTATTTTATTTTCATAAAGTTATATTCGGCTAGGCTGACATTATTATACCCTACACCATGTGGAAACTTAAAATTATTGTGAAATCAGTCGTCTTAAAATTGGCACTTGGAACATAACGCCAACATATGAAAACGGTGTCAATTTAGGTTTGAAAAAAAAAAAAAAAAAAACATTTGCGATTTGACTTCATGAATTAAAAACCAATAAAGAAAGTCTTTAAGTCGGGCGGGGGCGACTTTATGATACCCTACACCACTTTGCTAATTTAGTAGAGCTCCACATAACAATTAAAAGTTTTTATGGGAGCGTTCAATCATACACGCTATGGTTACAATTGTAATTTAAAGTTCAAAGGACTAAATATGCCGAAGCATTTGTATCTTTTAAATTCGGACTTGTATTGCCCATTTGGTGCAAAATGAATTTGAAATCAGATAAAGATATATATGGGAGCTATATCCAAATCTGAACCGATCTCGATAAAATTTAGCAATGATATTTCTGAGCTGTATTTGATATATTTCCCTGAATATCGTTGTTACGGAGTGCATATTACGGCTATGGGTAACAAACATAACAAATCGGTTGAATAATATATATGGAAGCTATAGCTATATCTGAACCGATCTTTACCAAATTCGACATATTAGCTTCTAGACTCAATTCGATGAAAAAGGTAAGTGCCAAATTTCATTCCATTTAGGCAAATATTTGACGTTTGGTGCATAATAAAAGGTAAATCGGACGAAGTTATGTATGGGAGATACATCCAAATCCGAACCGATCTCGATAAAATTTAGCAAAGGTATTTCTGAGCTGTATTTGATATATTTCCCCAAAATATTGTTGTTACGGAGTGCATATTACGGCTGCGGAGGACTAAAATAACATATCGGATGAACAATATATATTGAAGCTATAGCTATATCTGAACGGATCTTCACCAAAATTGGCGTACTACTTTCTAGACTCAGTTCGGTCGTAAGTGCCAAATTTCATCCCATTTAGGCAAATATTAGACGTTTGCTGCACAATAAAGGGTAAATCGGACGAAGTTATATATGGGAGCTATATCCAAATTTGAACCGATCTCGATAAAATTAAGCAAAGGTTTTTCTGAGCTGCATTTGATATATTTCCCAAAATATTGTTGTTACAAGGAACATATTACGGGTGCGGAGGACAAAAATAACAAATCGGATGAACAATATATATATGGGAGCTATAGCTATATCTGAACCGATTTCGATCAAATTTGGCATACTTATTTTCAGGCCTAATAAAGACATAATACCACCTTTTGGTGTAGGGTATAAAAATGTAAAAATTATGGCGTTTGACTTTGTTGCAGTTGTTTATATCACCCTGTATATCTATCTAACTTTCCAATTTGTTGGACAACTCACTGTGGCAGGAAATCATCTGATTACGTCCTATTAAATAAAAAACACATTTTTATATATTTTTTTTTTTGTTTAAATATGTTTAAGTAATATCTTTTTCTTTTATTAATTTTGTTTTCAGTTTTTTGTTGTTGTTGTTGATTACATGTCATTTTGTATTTATGTTCATATAATGCTTTTTTTTTTTGCTTTCATTTTAATTTTACAAAATCCGAAAAAATCACATTAATTAGGCAATAGTAACGAAGGGAAAAAGAAAAACGAAAAATTATTAAATATATATTTTTTAATATAATTTTCCAATTTTTTTAGCTTTAGGTGGTGGTCATCAAAAATAATTTCATGCATGTTTTTATAATTGTTTCTTTTTTTTTTTGTTTTTTTTTTTTTTAATTTGAAATTGTTAGACTATTATTATTATTATTAATCAATGATTATCAATTAGTTAAGGTCAAGTACTTAATACAAATGGATGTGTGTGTTTGTGTGTGGTGTTTGTATATAATTATGCGTATTTATGTATATATGTGAAAATATATAGTAATATGCGTATGTGTGTGTGTTTGTTTTATGCAGGTATTTATATTTCTCAATTTGAAAAGTTTTGAAATTTAGTTTTTTTTTTTAATTATTTTATAACTTATTTTATTTTTATTTTTAGTATTATTATTGTTTTTATTAGTTTTTCTTTTCTGTTAATTTTCATGGTTTCCATATTTTTTCAATTAACTTTAATTTATATTAATTTTTATTTAATTTATTTTTAATATAATAAAATTTCGAAGAAAAAATATATATTGGTGTTTTGTTTTTCGAACTTTCTTAGAATTATAACAAAAAGAATGCCGAAGGTTAAGCTGGAGAATGAAAATTGTAAAGTGGTTATATGTTGCACATATGTTGTCATAAATTTGTTGCTGCTGTATATGTGAGTATGTAGTGGTTTAGTTGCTAGACTAATGGGTCCTTAGGATTACATTATTATTAAACAGTTTGCAGTAAAAACATCCGTTTCCGATTTTTTTTGTTTGCTCGCTAAATATGCACTTCCGTTTCACATTTTTCGTGGTCATTTCGTTTGTGTGGGCGTGTGTGTGTAGTTGTACGGGTGTGAGTGTATTGGTTTTTGTTTACAAAAACTTTGATATGTAACGTTTTTGTATTAAACGTCCGGCTTTCTTTTTCAAAACGCAAAAACGTATTAACTGCTAATCAGCGTAATTTGTGGTCTGCGGTGGCACTCTGGGATAGAGCTGTAACGGAAGGAAGAAAGAGAAAATTAAATTAGTTTTCTCCCCACTTTACATATGTTGTGGTGTTTGTGTGTGTGTGTTTGTGTGCGGTGTACTTACTCCCAACAGATTCCTTGGCACATAGCCCTCCTCGTTTTGGTCATTTTTCGCCCACCACCACTCGCTTTCCGCATCATCACCTTTTCTTAGGATTACAAGACGATCGTTGACCGTAAATGTCAATTCATCGCTATTTTGTGCTTCGTAGGAGAATACCGCATATACTTCACCGGCGTGAAGTATGCCAAGTTTTTCTTGAATGCCTTGAAAGGAAATAACGAGTTTTAATTAAAAATTTTAAATAGAGTCGACAAAAAATTTAATTCAACATATAATTTATAGCATACTTTTAGGCCCTGGCCAAAATCTTTAAAGTAACAAGTAATAATGTATTATAGTATAACACAGGGCTCCACATCCATGTTTTTTATGGAAAAAATTCGCCGGAACCCAGGTCCGAGCTTTTTTTCTAAAGAAAAACGTTCGCCGGAATCCAGGTCCGAGCTTTTTTGTAAAAAAAAAACACCGGCACCCAGGTGCAACTTTTTTCTAAGGAAAAAAATTTGCCGGAATCCAGGTCCAACTCTTTTCTTACGAAAAAATTCGCCGGAACCAAGGTCCGACCTTTTTTGTATGGAAAAAATTTTGCTGGAGCCCAATGGTACCAAGTAATTTTTTCAAAATTTTCAAGAATACGCCGGAACCCAGGTCCGAACTTTTTTCTAAAGAAAAAATATCGCCGGAATCTAGGACCGAACTTTTTTGTAATGAAAAAAACATGTCTGCACCCAGGTCCAACCTAAAGAACAAAAAATTGCCGGAAGCCAGGTCCAACACTTTTCTAAAGAAAAAAATTCGTCGGAACCGAGGTCCAAACTTTTTTGTATGGAAAGTAATTTTTTCAAAATTTCGCCAGACCCCTCGAGTCCGAGGTATTTGTATGGAAAATTTCGCCGGATCCCTGATGTCCGAAAAAATTTCGACGGACCCAAGTCGGATCCAAAGTTTTTCTATAGAAAAAATTTCGACGGACCCAAGTCGGGTCCAAAGTTTTTCTATAGAAAGAATTTCGACGGACCCAAGTCGGGTCCAAAGTTTTTCTATAGAAAAAATTTCGCCGGACCCACCCCGGGTACAAAGTTTTTCTTTAGAAAAAATTTCGCCGGACCCACCCCGGGTCCAAAGTTTTTCTTTAGAAAAAATTTCGCCGGACCCACTCCGGGTTCAAAATATTTTCCATAGAAGAAATATCGCTGGACCTACCCCGGGTCCAAAGATTTTTCCATAGAAACCATTTCGTCGGACCCCTCAGGTCCAAAGTTTTTTCTATAGAAAAAATTTCGTCGGACCCCCTCAGGTCCAATTTTTTTTCTACAGAAAAAAATTTCGTCGGACCCCCTCAGGTCCAAACTTTTTTGATAGAAAAATTTCGCCGGACCTCCTCGGATCTAAAGTTTTTCTATAGAAAAAATTTCGAAGGACCCCCTAAACAAATTCGCTGCACCTCAAACCGGGTCCAAAGTTTTTCTGTAGAAAAAAAATTCGCCGGACCTTATTTCTAGATCCTCGGTTTGTGCATAAAAATTCCAAACTCCCCGAGCACGGATTTATTCCTTTTTCTAAAATATAACTTAGTCTATATTTATCCTGATACTTACTGTACAAATACTCCGAACAGCCATCGAAACCTTCTTCGTCCTCTTCACATTTCTCGGCGGGCGTTTCATGATCCGACAACGTGGCGGCAAATAGGCAGGCACCATTTTCCACTAGAAACTTAACCATGGCCAAATTGTTGCAGCTGGCGGCACAGTGCAGCGGCGTCCAGCCATCCGAGTCTTGGGCATTGACATCACAACCAAATTCGACCAGGAATCTAAAATAAAAATAAAATAATTTTAAATCTAGAAAAATCACAAGACCTCCCCCTTCCCTAATACTCACTTGACTATATCAATATGACCAGCACAGATGGCGTTGTGCAGCGCCGTAATACCCTCATCATTGGCTGCACTGGGATTGGCAACTTGCATGGCGGTTTTCTTGACCAGTTCCAGTTCACCCTCCAGACTGGCATCCAGCAGCAGGGCCAAGGGGTCAAAACTGACACGACGTGTTAATTTCGGTTTGCCATTACCCGATGCCGTAGAGGAGGCATTGTTACCGGCCGACATGCTGCGCAGGCGCCGTTTAAGGCTGTCTGGAGATTTATCTTCGGTTATTTGATTTCCCGAATTGCCTTGACCATCGGAACGATCCGTTTCATCTTGGCTGGAGGATTGTTGTTGGGCCGCCAGGGGGATGTTGGATGCCGATTGAGAGTGTTGAATATTTGGAGAATATTGGGGTGTGGAATTGGCTTCACTGTTGGTTTCAGAGGATAATTCCGCAGTGGTGGATCTCCGGTCATTGTACAAATAGTTGTTGTTGTTGTTGGAATTTAGTTCCGATTTCCGGGAATTTTGTTGGTTACTGCCAGCTTTGTTGTTGCTGTTGCTGGATTTGAGTCGAGGCTGTTCCGACAGAGGCTGTTTGCGTATGGTCAGAGGCTTTGCCTTGATAGGCAGATTATCGTTGATATTTTGTATGGGCAAGGTTGAGGCAGAACTAGATGAGGAGGTGGAGGTGGTAGTGAGTGTTGCTGATGAGGAGCTGCTCGTCGTGGCTTCCAGGGACGATTTCTTCGAATCTTGATTGGTTTCTGTTGACGACGCTGACGACATTTTATGCGGCTTTGGCGGCAAGGCAGGCCTATCATTTGCCGTGGCGGTGCTAGACACTGCCGTTGTGGCGGATGTGGAGGTGGAAACCGTTGTTGCCAAACTTGAACTAACCACATTGGGAGCTACACGGTTAACTTTTGGACTGTAGGTAATCATTTTGGGTATGGAGCTGGAAACCGATGTGGGCGCCACACTGCTAATGGGTTTACGGGGAGGTACGGCTAAATTGCCCGAGGCAAGAGGCTTGGGCTTGGACATGCCACTTTCGCCGCAGCTGGTGGTAGATGAGTTGGAAACACCTGTGGCCACCGATTTATTGGCTGCCCCCAGTGGCATACTGTGCACCGTCAGCTGGTGGGTGTTCTTCTCCAGCAGTGTCTCACTGGTCACCGAAATTTCCGCCTTCTTCTCCAAATCGGATTTCTCTCTCTGAGATATGTGAGTACCACTGGCGGCGGCGCTGTTCAGTTTGCTAATTAAAGCTGAGGCAGATGTGGCGGTGGTAATGCTTTTCGGAATTTTACTGGTCGTTTGGGAGCTCGTTGTACTTGGGTGGTTGGCCTCCAAATTGGCGGTGACTTCTTTGACCAAATCACGTTTTTTGGGTCCCACCTCGGCATAGATGTGGTGAGAGGTGTCCACCTTATTGGGCGCCATTGTTGTTGTCGTCGTCGTCGCCACTGATGACGACGCCGATGATGTTGTCTCCGAAACCTGGGTCTGAGGAGCTGCCTCCGCACTGTGCATTTGTTTGCTGGTTATGGCTGCCGTTAACATTTTCTTGGCCAGCTTGGACTCATCACTTTCCGCCATAAAGAAATTGGGACTTGTATTGCTGGTCGCAGAATGCCCCGCTGTGGCATTGGTTGGGTGCCCACTGTTGGCCAGGTTCAGCTTGGCATGGGTATGCTCCTGGATCAGCTGATTCTGTTGATTTGTATTGGCTGTGGCGGCGGCATGTTTGAGAATATTACCCAAATAGCTAGAGGTTGGGGTTATGGTGGATTTTTGGGGTGTATGGATATAGGGTTCCACGGCCGCTACATTACCTCGGGGTATATTGCGATTATCATTGGCCCGACTGATGACATGGGCAAATTTGTTGTTATAGCCGCCTGGTTGATTGCCATTGGCAGCGGCTGCTGCAGCAGCTGCCGCAGCCTGGTTGGCTTGCTTTTGTAACAGTTGCTGTTTGAGGGCAGCCACCCCCGTCTTGGGCGCCATGTGATTTGGGGGATAGTTGGCTGCTGACCCATCCACAATTTCACCCGGCCTACCAGGAGCCGTATTAAAGCCGGCATTATGATTTTGGGTCGAAGAGTGTTGTTGTTGCTGCTGTTGTTGTGGATTTTGTTGTACTTGTTGTTGCTGCTGTTGCTGTGTGGCTATGATATGATTGGGACTGATATTTGTTTGTTGCTGCTGTTGCTGTTGTTGTGTTTGATTCGTTTGTACATTGGCCGCCTTTTTACGCTGCAGCCGTGTTTGCAGCTCATAAATTCTTTGATCGACAGATCTCAATTCAGCCTGCCGCTGTTGTAAGGCCTCCCTTTGTAAATGGAGTCGGGCATCTTGTTGCAATGACAGCTGGTTGCGATACTGTAAAGTGAGATACATATTTTTTATTGTTGTTGTTGTTGGTCATGTTTCATTGCATTTGAAATATTTGTTTATCACTTACCATCAACTCTCTTCTTAGCTTTTCCAGTTCTCTTGAGGCCTGCGGTGGCAACGGCTGACCCGTTGTACTGCCACCTGCAATCAAGTTGATGGGACATCTTCGATCACGGCGCAAATCTTCCAATTGCCTGGTTAAAGCTTCTACTTTGGCCACAGCCAAACTCAGTTCTTTTTCCTTTTCACTGAAAAGGGCTCGTATCGAGTCTAAATCATTGCCTGGAAGAAAGCAACAGAAAATGGGAAATTAGTTGCGAGATAATGTTAGTCTGAGTGTCTGAGGTTATTATCTACTGATATGGTCAAAAAGTCTCTCGTAAGGGAAAATGAGAGAGATATTTTATGGGAGAGTTCCCTAAAAAAACAGCTACAATAGGCGAAGAGAGAAAATGTTTCTCGACGAAGCCATCGAAAACGCCGAATGATTTTTCCGAAATCAGTTAAGGAGAAATTAGCTATCGAGATCTTGGGGAGTGGGAAAAACGATTTTCAGAATCATATGAGATCCAATAGTTTTGGGGAGAGTGTCTAACGATCTCTCAAAACTGAGTAAAGGGAATTTAGTAATTCAGTTTCTGGAGAGGGAGAGAAGTCATTTTAACGAGCTTCTCAGAAACAGGATATACTTTTCTGTATATCAGCAAAATTTCCAAATTTATTTGTTACGACATGTATACAGAAATATCTTAGATTTATACAGTAATTTTTAAAGATCCTGGGGATAGAAATACTTTTTCAGGATCTTCTTAAATCGGTTGTTTTTGAAGAGAGTGCCTAAAGAAATCAGTGAGAGGTGTAAACACTATTTAAAGCTTCTTTTCAGAACCATTGGTTTTGAGGAAATATTTTCTCCGGATCAGCATATTGTCAGATAACATTACATTCGGCCGGGCTGAACTTTTGATACCCTCCACTGTAGCGTAAAGGAAACATTAGAACCCATTGTGACCCACAAATATCAATTTTAGTGAAAAAATGTGGCAAAAATCATCAAAATACCGAATATCTGGAGGTACCCTTATATGGGAGCTATACCAAAACGTGAAAAATGGGACAAAAACCATAAAAATACCAGGTATGTACCATTATATGGGGACTATACCAAAACGTGCACGGATATATCAATTTCAATACCAACCATCTTATACACAATACAAATTGTTCTGCTAAATTTTGAAGCTCTCGTCAAATAATGTGGGCTGTATCGTAATTTCAACAGACAGACGGACATATGTTACAAACGGAATGACAAAGTTAATATACCCTACTTTCCAAGGTGGAGGATATAAAAATCTCAGTTTTCGGCACGATATTTGTACAGAATAAAATTTGGAGGTCCAAAAGTACATTTTGGATTTGAACACTTTCTTTTCAAGAAATAATTGTTTGGGTTCTTGAAAAACGTGTGCAAAATAAGTACTATTTAGTACTTTTCGTACAATTATAGTACGCATTTCCAAAATCACCGCCAAATCTCAATTCCATATACCTCAATATAAAATTTGAGGATTACAGCCCTATACCTTCAACTAATACTCAAACCTTCAACTAATACTCAAATTAGTACCACTTAGTACTTTTTGTACAATTATGGTACATATTTCCAAAACCACATCCATCTTAACCACAGACATATACTATGACATCCAGATCAAATTTTAGGTTTTCGGTTCTATTTCTTCACCCAATACCAAATTTAGTACTATTTAGTACTTTTCGTAGGTTTTTAGTGCACATTTCCAAAACCACGTACATGTCTTAATTCGAGATACCTACAGAGATTTCAGTATAAAATTTCAATATTTCAGCTCTATTTTTTCACCCAATACAAAATACTGTTCAGTACTTTTCGTACAATTATAGTACAGGTTTTCAAAACCATTTACATATCTCAATTCCATCTACATCTACAACCACCTACATACCTCAATATAAAATTTGATTATTCCAGCCCTATTCCTTCACCCAATACTCAATTTTGTACCATTTAGTACTTTTCGTACAAATATAGAACACATATCTAAAACCATCTCCATAACTTAACCACATACACCAACAGTGACAACTATATCAAATTTTAGGATTTCAGCTCTTTTCTTCACCCAGTACCAAAAATAGTACTATTTAGTAATTTTCGTGCAATTATAGTACCCTTTTCTAAAACCACATCAATATCTCAATTCCAGATACTAACAGAGACCTCAACATCAAATCTCGGGATTCCAGCTCCATCCCTTCTCCCAATACCAAATTTAGTTCCATTTAGTATTTTTCGTACATATATTGGACGCATTTCCAAACCACCGCCGAATCACATACACAGATATCGTCAGTAATCGAAATATCAAATTTCGGAATTTTATCTCTATCTCTTCAGCCAATATCAACTATAGTACCATTTAGTACTTTTCGCACAACTATACCTCCTACCATCTCCATATGTCCAGGCTCCCATGAAGAGCGACTCTAATATCAAATTTTAGATTTCAAGCACTGTATGTTTACCCAATACCAAATTGTACGAAATATGGTACTATTTAGTACTTTTCATACCCTTGTGGTACCATTTTAGAAGTTCAGTACCATTTTAAAACTTTTCGTAACATTAAACTACGAATTTCCAAAACAAAAGCTGTAAGTTCGGCCGGGCCAAACTTTGAATACCCTCCACCATTTGGAACGAATTTGGCAATTCTCAAAAAAAAAAAGAAAAACTAAAATCCGTTAAAAATTCTATTAAAATATTAGAAATACTGAATTTAGCTGTTATATTAGGGTCAATACGACGACATGGACCTGCATAGGTAACTTTCGTCATAAGCCATTACAATATTCAAATGCGAAACTTAACCCAAAAAAAGCGGTGAATAATGTAGCTAAAATCATCAAAATACCGAATACTGGGAGGTACCGTTATACGGGGGCCATACGAAGACGTGGACCTGCATAGACAATCTCATGTCATAGGCTGTAGCAGCCATTACGAATATCCAATACCAAATATGAAACAATTCCGGTGAATAATGTCGCTAAAATCATCAAATGCCGTATATCGGGAGGTACCGTTACATGGGGGGCCATACGAAGACGTGGACCTGCACAGACAATCTCCTGTCATAGGCTGTAGCTACCATTACGAACATCAAATACCAAATTTGAGAGAATTCTGATGAATATTGTCTTTAAAATCGTCAAAATACCGAATATCGGGAGGTACCGTTATATGGGGGCTATACAAAAACGTGAACCTACAAGGACGATTTTCTACTGATCAAGAATATATATACTTTGTGGTGTCTAAAATTAATATTTTGAGGTGTTACCAACGGAATGACAAACTTAATATACCCTGCATACTATGGTGGAGGGTATAAAAAAAACATTGGTACTCCATCAGTGACTACCATTTCTAACTCCAATACAAAGTATTCAATTTTTAGTATATTCTAGTACTTTTCGTAGCCTTTTTGTACGAATTTCCAAAAACCTAGATAGAATTTCCAACACCAAGACTAACCCTCGTGCAAAATTTCAAACTTCAGCCGTTTTGTTTGGTCGTTGATTTTAGGCCAGTCTGTCTTGAAAAACGCGAAATAAAACAGTGTTTTCGAAAATGTGTACTTAAAGGGACTTAGTACGAAAAACGCCATGCAATTTTTTAAAATTCTATTGTAAACTGTTTTGTCTTAGCCTTGATGAGGCAATGCGTAAAAAATAAAAAAATATTACTTTTACAATTTTAACTTCTCATTCGTGCCACCCCAATATACATTGCCTTATTAAGCTAATTTCATGTAGATAGTCCATTGCACAAAATAAACATATAGTTTTCGGACAATCCCAACTATCTGCATATCTATGGTGTTCTCTGTACAATGTTCACAGGGCACTACTAAACACATCGTACTATGCTACACTAACCACATTTATACTTACACGGAGATAGAGCTATCCCATCCTCACCCATCCACCCAAATAAGCCAAATAACATAAATAAAGCACATTCACTTGCAAATGAAGACCGCCCATCTTCACTGACCCTGCAACTAGGGTCCAGTAAAATTATGGTTCGTTATTTGGCTGTGGCATGGTCGGTCGGACGATCGGTCGGTGATACAACGGCAAATATGTAAATTTACACTTAATTTTATATGTTCAATTTGTGTAGAAGATTCTCTATGTGGTAGGGGTTGAGGGGCTGGGACAAGTTTAATTTGTTAGATGATACTGCAACACAAACCCATATGGTTGGGTCGGTGTGTGCACATGTGTGAGAAGAACATAAGATGTTTGATTTATGTTCCGAGATAAGTACTGAGGATTGTGAGAAATTTTTAACAATAGGTTATAATGTTTGGGGAGATTGGGGAGAAAACCAACTAGTGGCGTCTAATATAAAAGAGCAACATTATAGAAAATTTCGCTATTCCGTCAGGTCTGATAATATCAATGCGATTATAACACTGTGCGAACGAATTCAATTTTTTCAATCATTCTGGGGAAAATCCCTCAGATTATGAAATCAGTGTTAAGAAGTTAAATAGTATCAGTTGGTTTTGTCAACAGATGTATACCCTCAGCCATTGCTCGATTATTAAAATATACATGGTGAGATGAAAAAACTGCATCCAACTTCAGACTGCAGTCATTTCTAAGCCACTCGTCAGACAGTTGTTAAAATTATTCCAGTGTCAGCTCATTATATTTTTACAAGCTTCCAAAGCATTTTGGTGAGAATTTTCCAGAAAAAAGTTATAAGCGATGGAATTCAAGCGTGATAGTATGATTTCTTTATATTTGGTTGGAAAACCACAAATGGCTATCGTTAGAGCAGGTCAGCATTTAAATGTGAATAAATCATTTGTGTCTCGTACCATCGCTCGTTACCGTGATACTGGTAGCGTAGCCCGACGTCAGGGAAGTGGACGGAAGAAAACTGCAACATCAGCGGAAATGGTTCGAAAAAGAAACGACTTGATCAAAACCCTCGTCGCAGTGGCCGAAAAATGGCTTGTGACCTGAACGTGAACATGTCGCAATATTCCATTTGGAAAATATTGAAAAATGAGCTCGGGGTAAAGCCATTGAAATTCCAAAAAGTGCAAGAACTTACACAGCAACAGAAATAAAAAGGACTCAAAAGAGCTTAGCTTGGCTGAAAGTGGTGAACTGCCGAATTTGGTTTTCTCCGATGAAAAAAAATCCGTTGTCCAGCAATT